TCTATAGTTGTCAAGTGTTTTGTTTTGTTTTGTTTTGTTTGTCAATTTGAATTTGACATTCAATTAAAAGTGTAAGAATTTTTTTTTAATACAGAAAATGAACATTCTCAAGTACAAGTCAATGAACCTGAAATTGTCATTTTTTTCCGTATGACAATGTTTTGTTTCAATGTTTTTTGTTTGTTTGTTTTCTTTTTGCTTTTCTTTTCTGTACTAATAGATCATTATCATGGTGACCAAAAATAAATAAAATAATTGTGACCGCCATTTTTTTTGTTGAAAACAAATACAAAACAAACTGATAAATTGATAACTTCCTGAAAAGTTATTTTCAATCATTTTTCTTTTTTAAAAAATTTTAAAATTTTTCAAACGAAAAATTCCAATACATTTGGTCATTGGTAGTTCAATACATTTCCTTGAAAATAAAATATAAAATGAATGGATGGTTGAATTGGATCAGAAAATTTTTTTTGATTTTTTCAGATTGAATGACAAAAAAAAACCAAAATCAAACCGAAGGTTGATAACGATTAGTTAGTTTCTTTTGGTTGGTTTGTTTGCGGTAGGTATATTGTGTTGATGCATTGTGCGTCTATTTTAACACCAAGGTAGAATTCATCAAACCGCGACAAATTTCATTTTCATTTTGTTTTTTCATTTTGTTTTTTTGATTAAATTCAATTTTTTTTCAAATTTTTTCAAATAAAATTCTCTATATCGACAGCATATGTTGTGTTTAAAATATGCAAATTATACATCCATCAGAAGCATCAATTTCACAATCTGACAATTTGATGAACAAAACAATCAAACCAAATGATATGGCCATGATGATCAACCATAATTGACATAACATTATCATTATCTTTTCTTTATTTAATTTGATTTTTTGAAAATATAGAAAAAAAACAATCAATTAATGGCCTTGATTAGGGTAAGAAAATTATGCAAATATATAATCCGTATGGAATTTTTTCTCTGTGTGCAAGTATGTGTGTGTGGTTACATTGAAAAATGATTAATGTAAAATAATAACTTAACTTCCTTTTACAGAATTTAAAAGGTGTGTAGGCTTTTTTTTCCTGTATTCTTTTCTGTTTGGGTATTCTTACTATTTTTTTTCGGAAACGGACATTCAATTAAATCAAACAAAAATTTTTGAAGAAAAAAAAATTTTTTTGTTTCTTTCGTAGGAGTCATAAACAATAGTGGTTGATTATACATTGAAAAAAATGATAGGGTTAACAAAAAATTATTCATTTTCTTTTCAATGAAAGTAAAGGATTAAATTGCATAATAAACATTATCATTAATTTCCAACAAAAAAAAAAACAAGGTTTCAATTGAAAAGGGTTACTTATTTTTTTTTTCTTCTTTTTTTTTATCTCATTACAAATCGTAAACTATTAATTTATTATAATTTGACTAATTTGGCTAATTTGAATTTTTCTCTTTCTCTTCTTTCTACTTTTTCATCAATAATTATATTTGGGATGAAACAATGGGGAAATTTTGCAACAACAACGAAACAAAAAAAAAATCAATACAAAAAACAATGGAAAAAGTTTTTATTTTCTCTGTTTTCATTTCCTATTACATTTTTAATGAGATCATAAAATTATAATCAATTATATTTATAAATAAATACGTAGAATGATTGATTGATTGATTGGATTGTAATTACAAATTCATCAAATTTAGTTTTTTATTTTACAATTATTTTACATTTACATTTGCATCCATCCATCTAATTTATCTAATTTTTTATATTGTCATTGTAAAATGAATGCCAAGGTTATTTATATAGAAAGAACAAAAAGGAAAAAATAAAATGATTCAAATGGATCAATTATTTACAAATTTCATCATTTCTCCCATGTGTTCATCCTAAAACATCATTTTTTTGAATATTTTAACACATACTTTTCCAGACAAAAGTCACTAAAAATGTAAAAAAAATTTTTCCCAAAAAAACAAAACAGCAAAACTATTAGGTTTCACCAGAAAATTTCAATTATCAAATTGTCAATTTTATCAAAATTTTGTTCATCCATCATCATCATTAAATATTTTGAAATATTTTGGTCGTTCCAGAAAGATTTTTTCCCCTATTCAATCAACATCTATGACATTTGTCTCTTTGTTTGTTTGTTTTGTTTCTCTTCACATCAAAAAAAAAAAAAAAAAAAAAAAAAAAAAAAAAAAAAAAAAAGGG